TGATGGAACAGAGACCATTGCATCCTGAAAGAGAGATCTTATTTTGGTATTTATAGACTTATGAGAGGAAAAGCAAACATTGCCAAGAGAAGAATGTAACACATCCGGGGGAGTGACCTGTAGTGGAGCACTGTGGGAGCATCTGTGTAACATGGACAGACCAGATGGGATGGCATCGAACACTATTGAGAATTCTTTAGGCGTTATCGGTACATTGTATCTCCTGAGGAACTCAGAGTAATTATAAAAGAGTCCATCTTCTCTAAATAACTGACTAACCAAGATTATTCCATTATTAAACCAGTTATTTAAAAAAAGAGTTTTATTTTTATAAATAATATTGCAGTTATTCCAAATAAAACAGTTTTGTGGAGAGAAATTGTGTTTGTAAATCAGCGCCCATGCCAAAAGAATTTGTTGATGAAAGTGAGAAAGTTTCAGTGGTATTTTTGGAATACTATAATTGCAGAGCAGTAGGAAGTTAAGGCCGCCTAAATTAGAGAACACATGATGTGAGATAAAGTTCCAGATAGAAGTGGGATTTTTTAAATACTTTTTAATCCAGTTTATTTTAAAGGTGTTGTTAAGAGCACCGAAAGCGTCTTCTTTCTAGATCCATACGTTAATAGGGCTCTGGAGCGTGATCTTACGGGATGGGGCGTAGCCAGGATTTTTGGTCAAGGCGCCATATTAGCAGGCCAAACAAATGCTTGCTGTGTGGTCGGTTGTAATGTTAGATTGCACTACCGACAAAGGAATAAGCTTGAAAACAGGCTCTCTTTTCATTGTTTCCTCACCTGGAAACATCATGAGGGAGCTTATGTGTTGGATGTTACCAAAAGAAGGCGTCTAGCCTGGATAGCAGCTGTGAGACGAGCTGATATTCAGTTCTCTACCAGCCACAGATATCTGTTGGTGTGCTTCAGTATTTTCATTCTGGTAAGTTCTAAATAAGTTCATATTACTCTTTTTATTTTCAATGCGCTCTGAGGTCATAGCAAATTAGAACAAACATGCAGAACTACCTTTATTTATAGAGTTGCTAATTATTTGGCATGTTGCAGCTAGGGCTGAACGATTATGGAAAATAATCTAATTGCGATTTTTTGCCCCAATATTGCGATTGCGATGCGATATGCGATTATTTTTTAAGGTCTTTGTCTTCTGTATTATTAAACAAAGACAAGCAATACATCATATAGTATGGCCAATACTATATTACATTAATTTTAAACTGTTCTTTCCTGGAAGACAGACCTCTGTTATGATGACATGAGGTGATGCATGAATTGATGACTGACATTTTTATTTAACTTCTTCAATCACAACAGTATATTTGAACATACACAATAGTTTATTTTTAGCTTACAAACATCTGAGCATAAAGTGCTGACAAGGAACCCTGGTGTAAACATTAAAATGAAAGTCAGTACAATGTGCAGATTGCAGAAATATACATAAAAAAAATCAGTGGCTTTACCACACTCAGTTTTTCGACATCTGTGAACTACTAGACAGTCATTCAATTAAAAAATAATATTAAATAAATAAAACTAATAAATAAAAAATACACACATCTTACTGATCTCTGCAGTCAGTAACATTACACATAAAGTGCAAACATAATAGCAATTGTATAAACACACACACAAACACGCCTTTAAAATTTAAAGGCGTGAAATTGGACGGTCTAGCCTTCTGATTAGCGTCACCGCTGTCTCGGTGGAGTTTAATAAACTCGGCCGTCTGCTTCTTGCTATCTAAAATATAACCAGACACTGGTGTAAATTCTCGACTGTCTCATACTTCTGTTTAATAAGTTTTCTGTTTGACGTTTAGTCAGCTGTGTGAAAACCAAGGAGGAACCCACCCGGGGGATTAATAAAGTTTTATTTTATCTAATCTAATAACTTTAATCTCAGCCAAACCGATTTACTCACGAACAAACAAAACACTGAAAAAAGCCCAACAATAACATTTTTAGGTTGTCTAAGTGACTTATATATTACGTTTAACCCGAGCAGCGAAACTCCGCGGTGATCTGAAAATGATGTGCCGGGAGTTGTGCCGTTCTCGGCCGCATCAGTAACCCTCGAGCTCCCGGCTAGCTGTCGAGCTGGTGGGTAGCAGACGCCTCTGAAAACGTCGAAGCACTTTTGCAAATATGGGATATCTTGATAAACCGAGCAGATATTTGATGTTTACACAACTACTTTCTCGCCTGAAAATATGTTAAAAGTTTATTTTGTGACCCAGAAAGATTAGTATGAGTAATTTTAAAACTTAGTAGCGGCCGCCATTGCTGGAAACTGGAGTTTGGCTGGGCCGCGCTATGACTTCTGGGATATGGTAGGCCACGAAGGACACACCCGACCCATCCTTCAAATTCGGGGAAAAGGAGGACGCACTTGTCGGCTACATTCGGAGGAGTCTACGAATTTGGACAGCCTTCGGCGCGTCGCTGTGACGTAATCGGTCTACAAATGCGGCCTCAGGAGGATGCAGCCCATGAATTTGGACATGTCCAGAGTATAATCGCAGCCTTTGCGGTTAGAAAATTGCACTTGATCATGTCGCGATATTATCGCAAATGCGATATATCGTTCAGCCCTATTGCAGCAAACCAGCCTATGAAATGAATGAAACAAATCCTGACTGGGTTCCAACACTACACATGGGGCACTACAAATCTTTGCTTCAATACATGCTACATACCACCATGCCAATCAGATTACTTCTTCCATGTGAGGGTAAAAGGTGACCCTCCTGGATAAGATGGCAAAGGTTTGCTGCGTTTTGGTGAACATGTGCCCCAGTGTGTTAGTAAAACCAGGGGAAATGCTCTTGTTAAATACTCCTAAAAGTCTTATGCTGTATATGCAGTGATACATGGGCAGGGCAGGGATAGTTCAGTAGGTAGAGTAGTGGCCCCATGATCGGAAGGTCGGGGGTTCGACTCCAGTGAACGGCTACCCTGAGGTACCCCTGAGCAAGGTACCGTCCCTACACACTGCTCCCCGGGCGCTGCATTGGTGGCTGCCCACTGCTTCACTGGGTGAATGGGTTAAATGCAGAGGAACTATTTCCCCATGGGGGACTAACACGCACACTTTACTTTACTTTACATTTTCAAAAGAGACAGTAAATTACAGAATGCTAGTAGTGGGTGATATTATATACATGCTGTCATCATTTTATGTGAACATTTTGTCATTTGTAAACTATACATGACACTGATTCTACATTGTAACTGATGTGATGTTCTATAAACTGGTTTTAATTAAAAATAGGTAAACATTTCTTTGTTTCTTTATTCAACTTTTGAACAGTGGTAATTAGTAAGTACATAATCAGTAAATGCAAATTATTTACAGGCCCCCCTAAATTAAAACATTATGGGTTATTCAGAACAGAACTATGCTTGGAAAAATATTGTCCCATCAGTTGATCCAACTCCTCCACAGTAGCAGGTGGAACTTTTCTTTTTTGAGGACGGCTTCTTTTACCTGTCACAACGAATGGTCTGTTTATGTTTTGATCAAGAAGCCTTTTTTTGGGCAGCTGAAGAGGAGAAGTCTATCTTATGGCCAACCTCTGGCTGTATCTTGGTCATATTACCCAGCAAAACCCAGTATGCAGGTTCATCTGTAACAGTCCTTGTGCCACAGATCCTCACTGTTGCTTCTACATTAAACAGAAGAGCAGGGACATGGGTGCAGCTCTCCGCGACTCCAGCCATACAGCTGCAGTGGGCGGCTTCAACCTTCCCTGTGATGCTCACAATGACCCATAGCTGCAATGCTGGTTGATTCAGTCTTTGAGAGTGCAGTACCTGAAACACACACAGGCAAAGTTCAAGACACAAATGTGTTGTGTCTACGTTCAAATACATTAATCATAAATGTAACAAATAAAGTGTTTTTATGTATCCATCTATAGAACGCTGCATGTTATATTCTAAATCTGCATGTTTCTTTTTAGAAACCTATCAGCAAAAAATGAACCTAAAGTATGTAATGCAAGGATGTAATCACTTTCAAGATGGAGAAAACATAAAGTTCGACTTTAAGTGACAATTGGGGACACCTAATATGATAAGGAGATTCTGCAGGTCATGCAGGCATTTTTCTTAAGTCTAGATTTTGTGAAGGAAAGGCTTTTTAATTACAGCAGTAGAGCCAAGTCATGCTTAGACAATAGAAACTGAAAGTTGTTATGGCAGAGAGGGAAAACGAACCTTAGGTGAGTGTGAGGGTGTGGATCAGCTGAGGCAGAGTGTATATAAAGGCTGAGCACTTCAACTTAGCTGCTGCTGCTCGAGCATCATTTACGTTTCCACGTTTGAAGACTTGAAGTGAAAAAGTCATCACAAGGTAGGAAGCTGATAAAGAACTGAAAAGTCATTTTTCCCCAGTGTGTGTGTTTTCTAATGGACTATTTTGAATTCTTTCAGACTACAACCAACATGGATATAACTATTAACATGCTGGGTGAGTCCCACACTCTGACCGTGAACCCAGAGGACACAGTTGGCTCTCTGAAAATAAAAATCCAGGAGAAATTGGAAGTCGACCCTCAGACGCAGAAACTGGATTTTCTGAACGGTCATCCCAACGACGACTCCAAACCCATCAGCTACTACGGCTTACAGCACGGCTCCCGGGTGTCCCTGCTGGTCACCGAGCCTCCTCCACCTGCTCCCATCCAGGTGTTCCTCAGAAATGAAAAGGGACACTCGAGCACCTACGACATCCGGCTCGGCGAGACTGTGAGCAACTTCAAGAACAGAGTCGAGAAAAGAGAGGGGGTGCCAGCGAGCCAGCAGAGGCTCATTCACCAAGGCCGGGAGATGCAGGATGGCAAACTGGAGGACTACAATGTCAGAAACCACAGCACCATCTACATGACTTTGCACCTGAGAGGAGGCTGAGGACACTTTAAAATGGTTCAGAAAACCCATGTATGTTATTTAATATTATAAGCTTGACTTATCTCATTTATCATATTTATTAGTGCTTTTATTTTGGAAAAACAAGAACATTCCCATAGACCGTACAATATGGGTTCATTAACCAGTTTGCAAATCTGTGTTATCTTTTGGCACAACAGATAAGTAACTCATACAAATCAACACATTGGTGATTCTGTCATGACAAATACATGTTAACTGTACTTATTACAAAGCATAAAGTTAACAACAGGAGCCTACGTCTCTTCACATTTCCTCTGCCTGTGTCAGCTCAGGAAGGTGGGGCTGTCATTCTCAATGTTTATGAGAGACTCTCAGTCATATAAAGTAATAGTTTATTAGATCTTACACTGTTAAGATATAAATTTCAAGTCGAGTATTTAAAATGTTACAGCAACATGTGGTAATGGTTTCAGTCCACTTTAAATTTAATCACAAGCGCTTGTGTATGTGAAAATTAGTGACCAGATTAGGCACAGATTTACGGCAGTAAACGTAACAGTCTGTTGTATGATCTCAGTTTTAAGGCATTTACAAATATGCCAAAACTGTTTCCTGAAGATGTGTTTTCTCTAGAGACGTCTTGGTAGCATCATTTTCTCACAGATGCAAGGTAGGCATACCAAAATAAGGCGATCATGTTGGCAAACAGCACTCGGAACTGAAACCAGAAATGTACACAGAAACAGAAGGCGCGAAGAAATTAATTACATGTGGCGACAGAAAATAACTCATTGTCTGATGAAATGAAGTGAAATGTGTACCTGAACAGGGACAAAGTTGATGTTTATGAACTGGAAAGGGGTCCAAACTTTCCAGTTCATCTTCAAAGCGGTCCAATAACTTCTTCTCATCTTCTTTTCAAAATCAGTCCATCCTTTAGCCTAAGGGACAGTGGTTACAGTCATATTACATGCTTATATATAAAATCTTTATATCGTGGACATGATAATTAATACTATGGTAAATGTCCAGGCTGAATCGGGTACTTTGCCAGGTTCTTGGTGTCAGATGAGCATGAAAATGAGTTCACTGTACTCAAATGGCCTCCACAATCAGCAGATCTCAATCGAATTGAGCACCTATGGGATGCAGTGGAATTGGAGATGTGCAACCAACAAATCTGCAGAATCTGTGCGATGCCATCATGTCACTACAGACAAAAATCTCTGAGGAATGTCTCCGGCACCTTCTGTGCCATAAAAAAAAATCAAGACAGTTCTGAAGACAAAAGTAGATCCAGCTCAATAGTAGCAAGGTGTCCCTAATAAATTGGCCAATGAGTGTACATCATAGTGCCAGTCCAATGTTAGGACATATGTATGGCATTAAAGCTTGTTAAGATACTGGCAATGGTGTGTATAATGAACAACAAAAAATTGTTGTTCATTGAACCACAACAACTACGCTTAAACACCATTCCAGTGCAATGAAAAAGCAAAACTGGACTCCTAAGTTGTGTGAGCTGTTTTGATAAATTAAGAAATAATTAAATGAGGTGAGGGCCTCTGCTGCCTCAGTTTTGACATGACTTTTTTTGCATTAGAGAGCAGGTGTCCCTCTATACTGAGCTAATTTGAAAGCAATGGTGTCTGAGATGACCCACCTCCAGGATGTTCATTACAAAGTAGAAAAGGAGCAGAAAGCCCGGGGCAAAAATAAGCCGGTCCAGCAGCAGACGTTTGACTACACAAAACCGATCTGTGGTGGGAATCCATACTTCCATCAGCTGGTAAAACAAGTGGCTCACGGGTCCTGTAATAAGCAACCTGAAACACACAACCAGGGCAAATATGAATAGCAGAAGAACATCTAAATGTTATCACATAACCGTGTTATCACAGACACCAATAACATTGGACAGTGTTCGATTAGTTTTATCAGAGTCTAACTGGAACAACATCACAATCACAGACCTGCAGCCTTAAAACAAGTCAGTGCTCAGTCTGCTTTCTTTACTGGATCTCACCCATAAATGGCATAGCGTGCAGCTCCAGCTGCATCGATATTACTGACAGGAGCTCCCTTCTGGGCTTTTCTTCTCGCCTCCACAAACTGAGACAGAAGGTTTCCTAAAGCAGAGAGGATGCCACTGAAAATACAAAGGACACACACACACACACACAACTGTCAATAAGTATCAATAGTCCACTTGCAAAAGACTTAGTGGGGGAGGTTTTCAGGACAGATGCTGATTGGCTAAAAGCAGTGCTGTGACAAAATGAGTGTGCGTTCAATGCAAACAAAGTCTTAAAAGACCTGAAGACGAGCAGGAAACAAAACACTGATAAAAACACTTTTCTTAGTTACAGTGTAATAAACGTCCCAAGAAACCTGACTACAGTACAGTGGTTTGGCTGTCAGTAAATGGGAGCTTCTAACTTGCAACACTGTCAAAGTGCAGAAACGCGACGTGTACTGACCTGGTTACAGATTTAGTCAGGATGGGGTATCTCTTCAGGAGGACCAGGTACTGCTGGAGTAACCTGAAATGTACGGAGGAGTCCCGCACGGGGCGGCTCTGCACGGGCATTCTCAGTTTTCTACCTGTGTGAATATTACTACCACTACCGCCTCTCTTCCTGTCGACGTCATTGCGTCACTGGTGGCGCCATGCATTGACGTCTACATCCGAAACAGTTCCGAAACGAGCATGAAAAAGAAAGAAAAGAAGAAAAAAATTCACCTTAATTTCACCATCCACCATTAAGCAATAATTTTGAGTAAAATGCAGTTGAAATACGTAAAATAAAATGTTTATTTAGTAAATAATTAATCACCCCCACTGCTATAAACTAAATATATATCAATCAAGTACATTTCATTCGACCAGATTTAATATTTTAAATTGCGTGTATGCTACATGGGAAATGTACATGTAATTAAATTAGTTAAGGTCTGTATCTTTTTTTGGTGTATGCTGCATAAATGTTCCATAAACTTGAAGAACATAAAATAAAAGAAAGAAAGAAAAACTACCTTTTAACAGGAAGAAACCTTCAGCATAACCAGGCTCATAGAGGGACGGACATTAGCCGTGACTGGTTGGGCCCCGAGATTATTAATAACTGATCATTAAATGCAGAGTGGTGAATAAATACACAGCAAGGGAAAATATATACTTTCTTCTTCCTATGATTATTATTATTAGCAAGAAAATTATTAAATTAATCTGCAATGTGACCTCTTTTGGTCAGCACTAGTTAGCATGGGCCCCTCACAGCAAGGTGATTGAGCATGAATCAAGAAATTTAAAAAATGTTTCTTCTTAAAAAAGTATTCAGTTTCCACAGCATATCTCAGTTTTCCAGTCTACAACCTTCACATGTGCATTACAGATTTATAGATCGGAGTAGACCTATAAATGTACAACAGATATTCTAAACATTTAAAACATATAATTTTTGGTTATATTAGACACAGCTAACCTGTAACAAGAACATTACAATGACTCTGACTACTTTATGTTAAAGTTTAAAAGCAGTTTGTTTTTTTTAGCCTAGGTTAAACCCAAAAGGGTATCCATCTAAGTATGAAAGCACAATGTTGATTTATAGTTGATGTATGCTACTTTATACTTCTACTTACACCCCATATAGGAGAAAATAGTTTTAGTTGGTCCCTCAGATTATTTTTCAATTTAATAGTTTACAAAACTATGAACTACTTTAAATTACTGTGAGAAAAAACAAAACAAAACAAAACTACTCTTATTCAACAGCAGACCCTAACAGAACTCAGTGTTACAGACGTCAGAGGTAGTCAACATACCCGGCATTAAAACACTATATCTGCCTTTTGGAATCACTTTAATTAACCCAACATTTATGTAAAAAAGTAAGAACAAAAAAGGAACTTTATTGTTTAACCTAAAAAGAGCAATAGTGTACAAAACATATTTACAACATGGAAACTGTTATATGCATACAAAGATATGCAGTTCAACAGTAAGCTTTAGCCAAAAGGCTTTCAAAAAAACTATACAGAAAAAGCTGCCAATACTAAGAAGATGCAAAAACAGGTTGCAGGAAAGCTTATGGGTGTTTTGGTCTGTAGTTGAACACATGCTAGAAAACTAGAATTCAAAGTGCTTTCCAGTCAATGGGAGACTTTCCAGATTTTTGTAGCAGCTCGTTGGCCTTTGAGAAGTGTCTGCACCCAAAAAAACCCCGATGAGCAGACAGGGGAGACGGATGAACAGCCTGCAAGACGTGGTGACGTTTCTATAAACACACAGAGAGAAAACTTAGTATGAAAACACATTATAAAGCTTAAGCTGAATGAGCCTGAATTAAAACAACTGACCCTGTCTATAGCAGCTCCTTTCTTCTGAGCATATGATCCCCACAGCATGAAGATGAGGCCCTCCAGGTTTTTGCTGAGCCACTGCACCACGGCGTCAGTGAACGCCTCCCAGCCTCGGTCTTTGTGGGAGTTGGCCTGGTGCGCTTGGACAGTCAGCACAGCGTTGAGCAACAGCACTCCTGATGAGCAAGGTCCAAAAAAAAAAAAAAAAGGAGGAGGAGGAGGAGAGCAGGTTTGTTGCAGCTCTCTTATTGTGGAACTATGATTAAACATTTAACAAAATGGGTTTTTTTGTTTGTTTTTTTTTCCAAGTACCTTGTTGGGCCCATCCAGTCAGATCTCCATGTCCCGGGTGCTGGAAGCCTTTGATGTCAGAGCTCAGCTCTTTGAACATGTTCTCCAAGCTGGAAATGAAAAGGATCTGACTCAACAGCACTGATTTCAATTAACTCACAAATTTCCAACACAGGGAACAAGTAGGTATGAAAGTTACGGTATTCATTCACAGAAGAAGAAAGAAGAAATTGCATGAAGAAAGCCATTTATATGTGTTTTTTTCCCCCATCAGAGGTAGTGAAGGGCTTCAAACCTGGGGGGAGGAGGCACTGGTCTCTTCACACTGAAGCACAATCCATGAGCTTGGTTAGGACCGTGATATGGATCCTGGCCAAGGATCACCACTTTTACCTGGAATTGTAGACACACGTTTGGGTTAGGCGACTGTGACAGAGTAAAGGACACCTCAGATAATACATCACGCAGGAATTTTTTATGCAGTTGTCTGCTGGGGAGATGGCAGCGCAGAGAGGGTTGGCTCGGTCCTGCATAGTCCCCTAAACCCCATAGAGGAAGTGGGTGAGACGAGGACGTTAGCCAAACTAATGTCGATTATGGACAACACCTCACACCCTGTGCATAAGACTGTGGAGGCCCTGAGCAGCTTCTCGAGCAGCAGACTGTTCCTTCATCCCGACAACAGTCTGGGATGAAGTACAGTATACACACAGAATAAATACCGTCTAAAAATACATGTGTATCATTATCACTCCCACTGCGCTTTATGTACATCTACAAATATAATAACAGCACAAAAAAAAACAAAAAACCCTGTAACAAGTGAATTTCCCCACTGTTGGATGAAACAAAGTCTATGTCTACGTCTAACAACCAGTGTCACTGAAGCTCAATCTGTACATGGCATCGATTGTCAGTTTACACACTTACATCTCGGATGTCACACATCTGTGTCCAGGTAAATACATGTTCAGCAGGTGGGTAAACTGTGTGGCGTTTCCTCTCTTCACAAACAAAACTCGTCAGCTGTGGGAGAGATGTGAAGTCACTATAACTGTTCAAAACAACAGAGACACAGTGTGCAGTATCCCGTCTCCTCCTCTTCTCACTTGTTTGAAGTACGGCTTTCCAAACTCAGCCGACAGCGCCTTCCTCCAGCTCTCCCCGAACCCTGGTGGTGTTTGAACGGAAGACAGTCTCTCCAGCGCCGCTTTCTTGTTGCGGGCGATCTTGTCCAGCTGCTCCGGGGACAGAGGGGCAGGGCGTGGGCTGCTCTGCTCCGTCTCCACCCCACAGCCCTTCTGCTTTTTCTGGATAATTTTAATGTATTGAGAAACACATAGAACTGGTGAGAAGCGGACAGCCGGGGGTCTAAACGGCTTCAGAAAGTGTCGACAAAGCGGTGGAATCATAGTCGCGCTGCGAGTGTCACGCTGAACACCAACAACACAGCGGTGGCTTTGAACGCAGCTTGGAGTACGCGAACGCGTCGCGGGAAACTACAAATCTCCCAGTGTCTGAAACGCTCATGACTCCACTGTAAGTTTTTTAAATACATGCCAACAAGCTAATATAAAACTTATAAGGTACATATTTAACTCTTAAAATTTAAACTGTTTTAAAAAAGAAATGACACTCACCGGCTCGTTTGCATCCTCCTCGGATTCAATTAACTCCGTAGAAGTCCTCTTCTTCGAAACTGGCGAAAAAAATGAGTTAATAGTCTTCTGTCCAATCATTTTGTCTAAAACACTGCGGTGGTAACCTGCTGTAAACCAAGAGAGTTCAAAAAAAATACCCGGAATGAGAATAAAACAGCAGTCTGCTGCTCCGAAACCCAAATCTCCCCAAGTGGGAATAACACATTTGGCGCCTAAACAGTGACGGCACGGAGATATGTTAATGAGGTGAGGGGTGTTCAAGACACACTACTGTTTGGCGTTTTATGTTGTTAAAAGTAAGCGTACAGCACCTAGCATAAGGATAAGCGTCTATTTACATGAATAAAAAAAGTGTCTGTCTGACGTTTTTAGGGATTTTTTTGTTGTTGTTATTTAAGGTGTTTGTTGAACGAAACAAAACGTCCACGTAATGATGACCAGAAAGCCTCATATTTAAATCAGTTTTGAGTCATTTTTCATGCAAAATAACTGAGCATATTTTCTGCTGTTCTTCTTTCCGGTAAACTAAACATGCACTCACCGGCCACTTTGTTAGGTATACCGGGTCAACTGCCCATAATGCAGGTCGGCCAGTTGCGTCACATAATAGAATTTTAGTGCATTTAGAAATGCAGACATAGCGAGGAAGACCTGTTGAAGTCCAAACTGAGCAGTGGGGGAAAATGTGAACGTGGCATGGTTTTTGGTGACAGACAGGCTGTTCTGAGTATTTCAGAAACTGCTGGTTTGCTGGAATTTGACCACACACCCATCTTTAGTGTTTACAGAGGATGGTCTGAAGAAAAGAAAAATATCCAGTGAGCAGAAGCTCAGTGGACGAAAATGCCTTGTTGTTGTCAGAAGACAATGACCAGACTACTTCCAGCTCATAGGAAGGCTACAGGAAGTCAAATAAACACTTGCTCACAACAGCTGAAGCTTGACGCAAACGGGCTACAGCAAGCGAGGATGCAGTGGCCACCAAAATTGGATAAAGATCATTAGAACATTAGAAAAACGCTGCCTGGGCTGATAAGTCTGGATTTCTGCTGCAACATTCAGATGGTAGGGTCAGAATATGGAGTAAAGAGCATGAAAGCAATGATCAGTCCTGCTTTGTATCAAAGGTCCAGGCTGCAGGTGGTGTAATATGCTGTGGAGGATATTTTCTTAGTACACTCACAGGCACACTTACTACTAACTGAGCATTGTTTAAACCCCACAGCTTTGCTGACCATGTCTGTCCCAACAGTGAATCTATCTTCTGATGCCTGGTTCAAGCAGGATAACACACCATGCCACAAAACTAAGATAATCTCAAACTGGTTTCTTGAACATGCCAATGAGTTCACTGTACTCAAATGGTCTCCACAGTCATCAGATTTGAATCTAGTAGAGCACCTTTGGAATGTGTTGGAACAGGAGATTCATATCATGGATGTGCACCAGACTGCAGCAACTGTGTGATGCTGTCGTGTTAATATGGACCAACATCTTTGAGGAATGCTAATGTTTCCTCTTTCCATCACTCAGGTATTAAAAAATCCACCAATGGAAAAGTTTGTGATTCAGGATCGGAACAAACGTCGCTGCACCAGTGACACTCCAGCAGGAAGTCCGAGAAAAAAGATTAAACAGGAAAGAGACGAGAAAATAAAGGAGGAAGACTCTGAAGATGATGAGGATGCAGCCTTTGCAGAGTTCTCCAATCCTGTTCCCTGGCAAAAAATAGAAGCAGAGGGACTAGACTGTGATTATGCACTGCTTTTTTCTAAAGAGGAGGCAGACTGCCTTTTTACACAGCTGGAGGAGGAGGTGGTGTATGCAAGAGGTACATCAACCCTGTTTTCTTTAAAGTTATGAGCAGAAGTTGCAGTGCATTTTAACTGTTGCGCTTGTTCCAGGTGAAGAGTCAAAGGTCCAGGTGTATGGAAAGGTGTACAACATACCGAGAAAGCAGGCCACGTATGGAGACGCAGGCCTAACGTACACTTATTCTGGGGTGAGGCGTATAGCCTGCCCATGGACTCCAACTTTGGAATACATTCGAGACACTGTCACTAAAACGACAGGACAGACATTCAACTTTGTCTTGGTCAGCAGGTGAGAAATGACTGATGCAAGCTGTAAATGTCACAGTTTTGAGATTTGGAGGTTTTACTGATCAACACACTTTTCTCCATCAGGTACAAAGATGGGCAAGATCACATGGGCGAGCACCGTGACGACGAGAAGGAGCTGGACCCCGGCTGTCCCATCGCGTCGGTCTCTCTGGGAGCAGCGCGGGACTTCTTCTTCAAACACAGAGACTCGCGAGGAAAGCAGAGCCGCCGACAAATTGAACCTGTGAAGCTGGAGCTCGCTCACGGAAGCCTGCTCCTCATGAACCCGCCGACCAACACCTTCTGGTACCACAGCCTCCCTGTCCGCAAGAAGATCCTCCTGCCTCGCATTAACCTCACATTCAGGCGCATTCTGCTGGACAGCAAGCGTGAGAGCAAGCCAAAGCCGGGTGTAAGTTAGGGACATGGCCATGTGCACAGCCACTAACAGCACAGCTCCAATTTAAGCAACTTGACACTCTGGAGGAAGACTTTCTTAATTTTTTTCAGTGAATCAGCATTTAACTTTGCTCAACTCATATTCATGTTTCTGTTCGAAAAGAAGGCAAAGACTTCAGATCAATAAATGTAAACAATTGACTTGTGAGCTTGTTAGTTCTCATTGATTGGACTGCTGCTGCTGTACTCTAGCAGCTCTGGAAAGTAAAAGGTCGCTGGGTTGCATTTAAAGGAAAGGCATGTAAACAATGAAAATGTACTTCTTAGTGGATTGTCAGGTTGGTCCAAATGTAGACTGCTTTAATCAGACTTCTCTTTAATGGGCTTAATGGGTATGAGAGGGGGGTGTATGACTTCAGCATCAGTTTGTTCCCTGGATATGGAAATATTTGTTGATACAGGAGCTTTTTATGTTCCAGAGTTGTCAGATTCCAAGGTTATATACACTCGCCAATTTATTAGGTTGGACCCCTTTTACCTTCAGAGTAGTCCCCAGGTATTTTGGTCCATGTTAGCATCCTATAGTTGTTTTAGATTCATGATGCAAATTTTCTGTTTGCCCCCACATCCCAAAGGTGCTCTATTAGATTGCTGCTACAATCATTAGATGGCAAATTTTGGTAAGACTATACCAATTGTAGCCTCAATTTTCTATTGTTAGCTGAAAGGACTAGCACCCAGTGTGGTCTCCTGCTGCTGTAGCCCATCTGCTTTGCAGTTCCAGCATTCAGAGATGCTCTTCTGCATGCCTTGGTTGTAACAAGTGGTTGAGTTATGGTTGCTTTCAGATCAGCTGGAGGCAGTCTGGACAGTCTTCTCTGACTCTGGCACTTAGAACTGCAGCTCACTGGTTATTTTCCTTTTCAGACCACACTCTGTAAACCTCAGAGATGATTGTGTGGGAAAGGCCCAAGTAGATCAGCAGTTTGATTAGGGTGAACATTTGATCAGATAAAAGATTTGCTGCCTTTGGTATACCAGTAACAAGTATACTTTTAAACCTCTTGCAAATTGAGCAGTTTTCAAATTAACTGTATTTCATTCAAAGACACTTAAATAATGGGGTAGTTAACATAACAATCTCTTAAACGTACCAAAAAATGTTCTTGCTTTAATAAAACACTCTAAAGACCATTGTTAATGCTTTTAATACCTGAAAACGATCACCTTACAGACTGCACACAAATACAATCTCACATGAATATACACTAGTGCAAACTGCAAAAATTAAGCAGTTTTGCAACAGATCACTGCTCATTTCGACCTTGTTGGTCAAAAGTTACACATTAATTATAAACAAACAGGATGACTACAGAAATCTGCAGTCATGTTAACTAAGGGCACGTCTCTTATTAACCCGTTTAAAAACACCCACAGCATGTCAACTGGCTGTGATGTGTCACATTTCAAGGAAGGGCCCCGTTCACATTAATTGTAGCACTCATGGTTCCAAGTGTTTAAAATCTCAGGCATTTAAGACAATATGGCACTTAAACCATAAACGTGCAGTTTTATAAATCGTGATAGAGTTAGGTTCACTAGAAACAGCAAAAATAATCAAACAGAAACCGTGTCAATAGAAACATTATTACTGCTCTGGGTTTACATACACTGCTGAGAAGGATTAGGCAAACTACATCTGACAAAGAGAACCGGAGTCAAGGATAATTCCACCTTTGTGACTTTACAGAATATGCAACAGCTCCTAAATATAATCACTGACAAGTCCTAATGAGCCACTTGAAGGCAATGGACAAAATAATAGGAACACCTTGAAGCAGCCTAGGGTGTATTCACATTTAAACACCAGAAGCCACACCTCTAGCCCACGTTTGAGCCAGCCTAAACACTGTACGCTTTCAATGTGAACCGCAGTTTGTAGGGTTATTATCTTGGCATAGACTGCACCAATAAGCCACAACAGTAAAACCACCAGTCTAATATTGTGGTGTCACCAAAATCATTTTGGCATTTGTTTAATCTGCTTGCTTGCAGGATGAAGCCTCTCCATCAGATCAGGATTTGGGGAATTTGGAAGCTGGGAATATGGTAAATGGACTGCATTTATTTAGAGCTTTTCTAGTCCTACTGACTACTCAAACCACTTTACATTCAAGTCAGTCTCTCTCTCTCTCTCACACTCACACGAGGAGGTGGGGTTTGGGGTAAATATGCTGCTGGAGGAGGATACTGCCACAGAGTGCCATTGCTTGGGATGCAACAGTCTTTAGGTGGGTGGAGTGTACCAAAGTAGCATCCATATACCATGACCCATAGGTTTTGCAGCAGATCACTGCACCAGTGATGACAACAGTTACTCATTTTGCTTGTCAGTGGTTTTTGATGTTGTGGCCGATGCAGCGTTTAATGTTCCTCTTTCTTTATCTGGTAGAAGTCGAGGTGTTACATAAATTATTACTTGTCAAAGAAAAAGTAGCTTCCCGATAAACGCTAACACAAAAATCCTGCAGTTTTATTATCTTTGGGATTAAAAGGCTCCTCCTCTGGAGCAGAGCAGCAGGCAAGGTGTCCACAACACATCACACTACACCCTAGGACAACTCTAGGATGGCTTTCTTCTCTGGTGTCATGTTCACAAAGCCACCTGTTGGTAACCGTGCTGTCCCCTGCCACATCGAGTGTGACAGTGTGACTGGAAAGGCAGAAGTCATTCAGGCTGCGAGCCTTTGGTTACTGCTCTGACTGCAGAGAGAGGCCAAGCCTTCGAACTCTCTCGTAAAAGAGCATGTAAGCGTTGGAAGACAGCACCTCGTGCAGGCTGGCTTTGCGTACCGAATCGTCTGACATCCACAGCCACTGGCAGCTGAAGGGCGAAGAGCTGCGAGATGAGGAGGGACTGCGGCGGTAGGTGACGAAATGTCCTGAGTGCATGTCACCGTGGTGAACCAGCACCGCCGTGAGCTGGAAAAGGTACTCTGTAGAACTGGAAGGAACGGGACAAATACACGTGGTTTATGATCAGTCCTCGCTTAGACCCTGTGTGGAACAACCTGCATGCACGATTTTTGGATGCAGTCTTTGTTTCGGTTCATTTTCACCGGTGCGTTCGTTAATAAGGTTGTGACAGACAATGGATGTCAGAAACAATGAAAGTTATTGCTTTGAATGTTATTAAATAGAAATGCTGGTAATGGTATCGATGTTGTTTAAATATAATAAAGGGATACTGGGTTCTTCTTGTATAGTACTTAGTGTAGGTGTATGAGAGCAAAAATAGGTCTAAGACGAAGCTGTAGATTTCCTTTGGGTAGCCTACTTGGCGTTTAAACAATGAAACTTCGGCTTCGTGATAGTTTAGCTTTCAGTAGAAAGGCTTGTTAAGTTTAATACACGCTATAGGGACAAAAGTGTTGGGCCACTACGCTTAATCTTTGAACTGTTTGCCATCCCATTGCCATAGATTTACAAACATCCATCGCCTAGCAATGCAGTTTGCCTTTACAAACATTTGGGAAAGAACGGGTTGTTCTAAAGAGCTCATTGAACTCGAGGGTAGAGCTGTAATAGGATGCTGCTGTTGCAACAGGTCAGTTTGTGAAACTTCTTCTAGATATTCTACCAAAAGTGGTATTATTGCAAAGTGGACGTGTTCAAGAACCACAGCTACACAGCCACAAAGTGACAGACCACATAAAATTACAGAGCGGAGTCAGTCAGCAAAGTGCATACTGTGTAAATGTAATCCATAGTGGCAGCTCCAAACCTCCACTGGCATTAACATCAGCACAAAAACTGTTTTCCGGGAGCTTCATGGTAGGAGTTTCCACAGCTGAGCAGCTCCTGTGGGTGTAATGTGTAGGTGGCCCAGTACTTTTGTCCATATGTGTTGGTTTTAGCTCTACTAGAAAAAAATAAAAATCTGTAGACACATTGATATCTGCTAATTCTGCCAATGCGGAAAAAGGGATTTCAATTACCAGATCACCACTGAATACCTGATATATTTGAGTTCCTTATCGATTACCTGTAGTCATATGCGAGGCTGAGCTGTGGGTTCACACCAGAAGTGTGAAGGAGGACCGATGAACAAGTTCCATTAGAAAAAGGTTTGTTGTTGTTATGATGCTCTGAATCTGAAACACGAAATACAATAAATGCATGAATCTAATAAACTGAATAATAATAATAATAATAATAATAATAATAATAATAATAATAATAATAATAATAATACAGATGCAAGAACTCCAACATACCGGAGCCATTGGCAGAGGGTTTTTCTACTGAATCGTCTCTGCTTTCAGCCTTTATGGATTTTGCAGTGCATCTGAGCCGCTGACTCCTCTGTGTGGAAGTGTTGTGTTTGTAATGGTCCATTGATAGATACTCTGCAAACTGCACATGCTCCTGTCGTTTGATGGGGGTTCCTTCACTCGACCACGTCAATCTTTGCAAATGGATGCAAAGGCACTGGGGGAGCTAACAAAGACTGCCAATCATTTACCCTTCAACCTCAAGCTGGATAAGTACTAGCATTTGCCATGTACAGAATTCCTAAAAGGAAAATAAATAATTGGGTTATTAATGCTTAACCAAAAGAGACTACTTACCTTCCCCAGTTTTAGCTGTTTAACAAATGTTGTCCTTTGGCTTTCTACAACTGGTCCATTTATTGTGGTTGCTTGTTGAAGCTGAGGAAAAATGATCAAAAACTTAAAATTTATACATAAAATCAGCAAAAAATACACCTGTGAAAGAAACAACTGGACCTTTTGTTCCTCTTCAGGCGACCTCCCCACTTCAAATCTTTCACTGAGTAAATCATTTAATGAGAGGATTGCCACAGTTTAGCTTGGCACTGATATGGAAGTCAGTGTACCTTGGTGCAGTTTTCACACTCCACTTCTTTGATGGTTTCCGAAGAGATAAAGTGCTGAAGACACTGATCTAGAGAGATCGGCCGCCCCTGAGAACAAGCACAAGTCATATTATAACAAACAGAACAACCATGAAATATACTGTTGTGTAAACAGCACAAGATACATTTTCACTTACCCACTGAGGTAAAGGAATGGACAGGGAAAGACTATCAAACGAGTCGTACCGCACTGGACTCTAAAAATGCAAAGCAGAGGTATAAAATCACATCCTGAAAGAAGACAAACAGTAATTTTCCTTTTTTTTTTCCTCAAAAAGACAAAACAAACAAAAAACTCACCTGTAGCTCGCAGCGCTTGCAGAACATGTTGCTTGTTAACCGGCCATGAAACGGATGCTGAAACTTCCACGGACTTGGTATTGGATGAAGGGGAGCTGCCAAATGAGAATTTCACTCAAATGAAATACAACTTTGTTTTATCATCTAGGTTCTATGATTTCTACTCCTTCTCACCTCGACTTCTGCATGTCATAGTTTTCTCATCTTGATCTGGGAGACTCTGGTATAAAATAAGCACACACACAAAGAATAACTAGACACATTTCTGATACTTCAACAGCACAGAGACCGACTGAGATTTTTAGAGTGTAGGAGGCAATCTTTGGATTATTATGGCCTACAAACTCCAGATTACAATTGTGCTTCATTGTTCTAGAAGACTCTATAGAGTGTATTGGAATGGATGCAACATGCAAGAGAAATGGCGAGAAAAATGAATTACCTCAAGGGAGTGCATATCAAACAGATTTGTGACTTTGGGCTGACGATCTCGCTCCTCTTCCAGAGAAGATGTAAGGACATGAAACAGCTCATGTGCATCCTAAGAAGGGATGAACCAACACAAACAACGGTTATGAGGTGGACGAGCAAATTGTATACAAATCTAAAGCTGGTGGATCGATCCACTGCTCCTCCAGACATGTCCTAGAAGATAATGAACGCTGAGTTGCCCCCAAGAGTGACAGTGTATGTGAATGTGTAAAAAAAAAAAAAAAAAAGCCTGGAGGCAGATTAAGTTGCTGAATGTGTGTGAGATTGGGTCAATGAGGGAAAAGTACTAGTGCACTGCACTATTCATTTGAAATAAAAAAACAATATCAGCAATAATACCGACTGACCTGCTCTTCAAATGAGCTGATGTGCCATCTGTACAGTCTGAGGACATCCAGGAGACATCCAGCATCAAGAACATCATCCTCACCTGGCTCATCACTGGATAGCGCTGTCAGTGCAGAAACAACCTCCATGTGAACATTTCAGAGGAACTCAGCATGTCCAGTACACTGTGCTTATATGACACACTGGTTTTATGTACCTTTGAGAAGCTGGAGCAGTGTTGTGGATAGCTGGTTGTCTTTGCAGGACTGGATTGAAGGCAGAGCTGCAAACTTCTCCAGCCACCTGATGAATGACGGACATGCTGCTAAGCCCTGAAGTAACGAGTTCAGAAAGCAGGTGTTCCCCAAGTTTAAAAGACCTGGTGCCATACCTGCAGGGAACCACGAGTCACTGTAGTTTGCTGCAATGTAAACAGTGCCATAAATATAATGTGTGCGCCACACGGTCACAACAGCTCTTACCTCTCTTTCTTTTCTTTCGCTCTGTGATTGGACCCCACAAAACATATACTCCAGCTGCAATCGCAGCAGCTATCCCACCAATGACGCCCCAGTTCTTTATCATCTTGTTTCTAAAAACAACAACGACAACAACATATTCCTATCAACAAAACACAGCAAGGGATCAGACATGGGGGGAGGATTCATAAAAATAGGACAGAAAGGATAGGCATGAGAGTAACATTTAAACATATATAGACTGATAGTTGTATTTATGATGGAGGTGTGTGTGTGTTTTGTTGTTTTTTGGCCACCATATCTTGCATCACTAAATTTTTGGCACCCAATAAAAGCGATCAGCTCGGATTTGAAACAAAATATGATAAAGGTTCAAGCCAAAAATGAATATTAAGTCTCTAATATACCACCAAGCACTTTACAGACTAAAGCTGTGAAATATAATTAAACATCAGCTCTGTCATAAAGTTTATTCTTACAAACTGTTTTTTATTAAACTTTTATTCATCAATCCCACTTTTTCTTACATGCCACACTGGTATAAGTCGTCCTAGCATTTGAGTATATAAATATATTTAGAATTTGTAAAATGTTATCCTCTCAGACAGCACAGACAAAACGGGCACAACAATTCCCCTCTGATCTACTAACCCGACATCTAATTAGTTAATCTGGAGTAAACGAGGACACGACGAGACTCGATCACATCAAAGAAAACCTCCACCGACATCTGCTCTGATAAAGCTTCAGTTGAACTGCCTGAACTGATGTTTGCGGCTTCAATACAAACATTATGTGGGTTTAAAAAAAAATGTAAAAGTCCCTGGCGTTACTAATTACCACATCTTTATCAGTAAGTAAACACGACCCAGTTCACATAAGAGGACATACAGGCTAGGTTTAGCTGTAGTAGCTAACTTACCGAGAGCTCCGAGGTAAGGCTACCCTCTGGCCCCTACGTATCCTCCATCAATAAGCACCCACGCTTCTATGTTCAAAAACAGTCTATACCTCATTAATATCAGTGCATATCTCCTGTAGCAGGCTTACTAACTGTGGCATTAAACCAGACAGCGAGTCTGCGCATGTTTCATTTTGGGTCCAACCAAAGCCTACGGCGGCGGCATCGCGACCGCGCTTCTTCCTTCCGCGTGCACCTGCAATTAAGCTGTTTTGTGCCAGGTGGTGAGGATTTACCTGATTACGGGTCCAGTGCCAAGAAACTCCCGAACAAGCTTATCAGAGCTTTTTGCTCTGCACCACAACATCCTGCTCCTTCTGCGGAACTCTCAATGGTTGGTGGTGTGTTTCAGGACGGACCCAAGGAAGAGTGGCACGCCTGTAACGTCATTACCTGCTTTCTTAGAAAAAAAAAAAGTAGGGCTTGAAGCACTGATGCGTTGGTTTTGATTTGATTAGTCTGAATTAGTTTTTATGCTTTCATCAGACTCTTTAAGAAAACAGAATAAAACCACAAAATTCTTTACATTTCACAAATCTTTTAAAATCACACTTCAAGCTGAAACTCAAAACAGTTTTTTTTTTTCAAGTTCCCCAAAACATTTTGTAGAACAAAACGAGAGGTTTCACACTTGGAAAAGAAATTAACCCATCAAAACACCGTGCAAGCCTTCCAAATTTCCATAGGTCTTATTTCAATTATTTTCTCCTTTCTCTTTTTACATGTTTTTACAACGTTGTAATGGCTGTAAGCACCTACGAGATCAGATGTTTTTGTTTTTTCAGAAGACAGACAATTAAATCTGGCCTGTAAACTCTCTAAGTGGCTTTTACGGGAAGTTCAGGAACTTGTGCCCTGCCTCACTTGTTTTACACATGACACGAGGAAAGTAAAGGATTGGCTTACCCTCTGGTATAGGGCCAGAGCCAGAAGGCAAGTAATCTTTTCCATTGTCCTATTTTCATTTCAAGTGGACTGATAAACACGTATCTGCGCTTTGTTATTATTATTTTTATTTCTTTGTTTAATTTTGTTTTTTAATCTAAATTTCAGCTTCTATTTTTTCATATATATAGTTGCACCTGCAAAAGAGGGGACATGTATAAAATGAAGTCCTTCAGTTTTCAAACTCTCTGGTTTTGATTGTATTGCAACTCTTGGAGCTAGTCTCTTCAGAAGTGTAGCCTTTTCTACTGATGATTGGAGCACAGGTGCAACATTCCACCTTTCCTGCTATAAACACACAACCTCTGCATCAAACGTCCCTTTTTGCTGCTACTAAGCTTCATATTGTATGATATATATATAAATTGAAAATCTCATACCTTGTACAGTGTATAGGTTTTCTGTATAGCACTATTGTTATAAGTCAGGGGTGGGCAATTCCAGGCCCCGAGGTTTTAGATCTCACCTTGGGTCAACACACCTGAATCACATGATTAGTTCGTTACCAGGCCTCTGGAGAACTTCAGGACATGTTGAGGAGCTAATTTAGCCATTTAAATCAGCTGTGTTGGTTCAAGGACACATCTAAAACCTGCAGGGACACCGGCCCTCGAGGCCTGGAGTTGCCCACCCCTGTTATAAGCAGTGTTGGGACTAACGCGTTATTAAGTAACGCGTTACAGTAACTACGTTATTATTGTGGTAACGAGCACGGTAACTAGTTATTATGCCAAAACCAGGAACGCGTTACTCGTTACTGGGATTTAGATAGGCTCGTTATTCGTTACTTCGTGTGGTGGCTATCGCGGAGCTTCCACAGATTCAATAACATTAGCAAGTGGTGGAGGCCAGCAGGTGGATGAAGGAAAAGGGAGGCAAGAGGAGAGACCCGAAGCGGCCGCTGGTCCGAGAGTGTCAGGTGAACTGAACTTCAGGTAAGAAGTTATAACCTGCAGTCCATCTGGGTCAGATATGAACCAAGTTTAGGTGGAGTTTATTTTCGTTATGCTGACTTTTTCGTACTGCGTGCTAGCTAGCATGACGGAGTTTCTATACAGCTGGGTGGGTGCTATGTTACTGATGTTGAACTTTATTTTGTTCATAAGGTTAATTATTAGAGTTGCCAACCGTCCCGTAAAAAACGGAATCGTCTCGTATTCAGAGAAAATATTACGCGTTTCGTATTGAGGTGAAAAGGAACAGTTTGTCCCGGACTTCAGCTACAATGAAAAAGACACAAAGCTGGAGTTATTCTGTGTTTACGCTGCACAGCTGCCTCTTCTTCTCTCATCCTCTCCCCTCCCTCTCCTGTTTCTACTTCAATCATGAAACTGATCAATGATCAGCTGATCGGCTTTTCTCTCTTGTTTGTTTATCGCCCACTTTGCGCCAGAAAGAGGAAACCAGCGGATGTCGCGTAAACAACAGCAGCACGTTTAAGCTTGATCAGCTGTTGTTAGAATTTATTTAATATTAATTTCTAGTATCAGCTGATGTTTGCTGGAGCCACAGCTGTAAACCTGCTGGTCATGATATGGTTTGGTATGTGGTGAGAGGGAAACATGAAGATGAAACCAGGAGATGTCCTTACTGAATCATCAGAGCTGAACAGGTGATGGAGAAACAGGTTTACCTTTTAGTGACATGAATGAGTTGAAGGGAAGTTATGAACTGTTTCTGAGAGACAAATAACACCAGGATCCTTTTCTAAGAGCTGACAGCTGGTAACTGTGCAGGGGCGGGTCTAGCAAAGTGTTGCCAGGGGTCCATGTAGGGCATTAAAAGGGAAAGGGGGGCACAAAGAAATACTTTCTTATTCTCATTTAAAATGTCTCACTTTTAAAAAAAATAATTATCTGAGTCTTGCAACAAACAATTGATAGATTGATACATATATACCATCAGAACAGTGTACATCACTGTCACAACAGTGTTTATTTTCATTCAAAGGCTTTATGCCCAGGACGATTTTTTGTCCCAGTCCAGCCCTGTATGCAGCTCATCTGCAGTCTGGTGTTACCTACATCTTCCTATTCAGAAGGCAGAATTTCCGAGTTCTGAGTACAATCGAAAGCACCACGACTGCAGTTTTGTGTTGGATGTAAAAAGCAGGCTAGGATAGAATCAGGCGTGGGATTTCTCTCGTGGAAATGTGCACATTATTTTTTCCTTTCTATTGGTAGGTGGCACAGTGCACTTGTGGCAAGTAAGCAAGCTAGAAGACTGGCAATCTTGCTGGGTATCCAGTTACGGAAGCAACACATTAACAAGAGAATTCTGAGTAAAACCAAAGTTACTTTCCCTAGTAACTAGTTACTCTGAAAGTAACGAGTAACTTGAAGTAACTGAGTTACTTTTGATAGAAGTAACTAGTAATGTAACTAAGTTACTAATTTAAAGTAACTTACCCAACACTGGTTATAAGTTATACCGCATCTATTTGTTCTGCACTGTCCACTTTGCTGCCGTAACGTGACTTTTCCGTGAGTGTATGTGAAATTCATTGGCTTAGAAAACAAAATGCCAAAGAAACTTCCATTTATCTCAAAGAAAGCACACGAGTGCAGTTACCAAGCAAGAGTGTAGATTTTAAAAAGGATGTTTGTTGGACTCTTTTAAACAGAAAACTGGTATAGCGCTCAGAATGAAGACAAAAAAGTACTTGGAAACACTAGTGCCCTTTTTAAAGACTGCCAGTTTTGACACGAAAGCTATGTGACTCTAAAAGCGTAAAAGGGAAAGCTTCTACCAGGTTTCCGTCTCACATTTAATCTATCTACACCTGGAATATGATACCTTAAGAGAAAAAAAATCTTCACCTTACTAATTTTTAAACCCTGGTTACGTCACTTGTTGTAACTTATTTCCTAACCCCTATTATTATTATTATTATTATTATTATTATTATTATTATTATTATTATTATTATTATTATTATTATTATTATTATTATTTAAATATATAGCAAACTTGCATCGAGTTGTACTAATAGTTTCAACCCCACTCGTACACTCGCTTCTGGGTGTTCTTTCAGTAACTTTCACGTTACAGCTTTAAAAATTCCGATTCATCTGTGTTGTGCGTTTCCCGGTCTGGTTTCCAGCGTCAGTGTTGATAACTCGTCATGTGTTGGCTCGTGTAATCAGCAGTCATGCGGTCTTATACCCTCCTGAGCTCATGCCTTTCCGAGAGTCTCGCGCTGTGACTCGCGCAGGGCAGCCTCTCATTGGCTGTCGACGGACACCCGGAGCAGATCGCTCTCCTCGGTGCTGAAATCGCAGCCCGTCGTGACCATGTAAACGGCGATGATGCCAAACGGACCGTCGGCCAATGAACACCAAAATGGACGATGATCTGTTCCAGCTGAGACAGCTGCCGTGAGTACGGTGCAGTCTGCACACCAACGCCTTTTTCTGTGTATTTTCTCCTCCCGGCTTTGCGTGATTGTCCGACGCATCGCCCTCTGACGGCTTCGCGTCGCCTTTGATTAGCTCCCTGGACCACAGATAGCCTGAAGCTGCTCAAAAGCACCGATCGTGCAGTTTTATTATCCACACATGTGTTCCCAGACAGAAGAGAAACAAAGAACAATAACACCGCGTCTTCTGTCTCCGCTACTGGAGGCATTTTGTTTACAGGCGTAGCATCTTCCTAAGAAACTATTTATTTACCGGAAGCAGATTGGCTGTGATTTCTAAGCTTAATAAGTTTTTTTGGGGGGTTAAACATGATTTTCTTTTTCTTTTTCTTTTTTTTACTATGTTTACTGCCATAAGACAATTTATCACAGCCCTGCTGCACATGCGTTAAGGCTGGCCCATGACAGTCTAGCTTAGCCTTAGTGAGAGATATTTAGGAGTCTCCTTTCAGAATCCTGCTAAAAAAAATTAAAATCACATTTTATTTTTGTTTCAAAGGGAAGGTAAACATGTCAGAGCAGTCCACTGCAGCATAACTACCTACTCCCGTGTGCATTTCTTACCAGAGAGATTGAAAGGGGAAATTATAGTCTTTACAGGGGAACACAGACCTCCCCGGAAATCTCACAAACTCATCTGTAATACTGATAGCCTGCTTGCAGTGGAAAGTAGCCTATGTTATGTAATTACAGTGATTAAGACGTCCCACTCTCCGTGTTCTTTTTTAGTCTTTCAGGCTGAGCAAACTATCAATTATCTGCATGTAGAAGAAGAGTATCCCTTCCATCCTTCACATGTGCATCTCTTAGCCTTTAAAAGCTTGTCTGGCAGTGAAGTGGAGTGTGCCAACCTGTC